CTGTCCTACTGCTTAAGAGGGATTTTAAAAATAAACATAAATGTTCAGAATACTAAATTAACAAAGATCACTTTGAATGAGACCCAGAAGGAACAGGGATACTCCTAGACTGGACTGGGAAATACAGCTGTGCAGAAGAATATTTAACAACAGCACGAAACACTATATTCATGTCTCGATCGTGTTTTAGGCTTGGAAAAGTAAGCAATTAAGTTGCTGCAGAGTTGCCTGAGGTTGAGTAATGTGTAAAATGTTTACACGTAGCTGAGCTGAGTCTGTGGTCCCCAGTTATAAAAAAGGAAAATAGTATGTGGTAGGGAAAGAAAGTCAATGACTGTTTCCATGATCAAATTTGAACATTTGAGGTAAACACAAAATAGCAAAAAAACATACAGTAGAAAGTGACATGTAATGATGTTTTTAACCACTAACTGAAATAAAATATCCACACATTAGGATGATAACTGTGCAAGTGCTTACACAATTGTATTAAATATTCTCTACAGATATTATAAAGCTACCATCAGACTCCAAGATCCCAGGGATATTTTGAGAATTAATATGATCTTGAAAATTGCCGAAACTTGGGAGAGAATATGGCTTTAAAATTGCTGGAATAAAATGAAAGCAACGAATGCATAAATTAACTATTACACCTTTGGTAAAATAAATATTTACATTCAATTACTATGGGGAAAAAGGAGCCAGTTGGTAGTCATATATCTGCGTATCTTCTGTAATTTTCTAAATACCCTAGTCATATTTGGATCTCATTATCATACTGCATATATATATATAAATGTAATGTATAGAGAAATATTTATTGCTTAATATTCTTGGCAGCAAATAACCAATTTCTAAACTTTATAGATTAAAGAACATCACTTCTGTGTCACTGCATAGCATTAAAAATACTACTTCCAATTTGATAACTGAATTTCCATCCTTTTGCCTGATCTTATCAGATCTCAGAATAAGGCTAGACTAAGGAAATCCAGGCCTGTATCCTATGTTGTACTGTACAGTAGTGTGATTTAACTGTAAATACTAAAGCCACAAGAGGAAGAGCCAAAAAGATGTAGCATCAAATCTATTATGTATGCATGTACATAACACACACATCTTTTTCATCAGCACACCTGTGACGAAATGCAGCCCTATAGCTTTGAACTGGATGTCAGCACTCATCCTTGTCATTTAACTTTGGCAATATAAGCTTCTCTCCTTGAGGCATCTTTCAGAAACATGAAAACTTTTAGAGTGCACAGATCCAAACTTAACCCTAGGTTAAATCTTGGCGTCCCTTTAACCGCCATACCATACATTTTCCGGAACACAAACCTAGTTTCTGACAGATCATGAAGATTCATAAAAAACGAACATACAACTCACACAGGTGGCACAAGGTAAATGTCAACACCTAGTAATTCAGTACAGGTTGAGTGCATTTAATGTTTCAACATGCATGTCAGCCAACTGCTTTAAAGGACACATCTCAAAATGAAACATCTATAATCTCACCAGAAAAGTAAAGTATTAATGTGCTATCCATAGCCTTAAGTGCCCTGTAGGATCTACTGGTAACCACAATCACATTTCAGTGGGTATGTGAATATGGCCTGCTGTTGCCGATCTTAAACTTCTAGATTGTGTAAATCAAGAATCACACAGTTCTTCCACATTCACTAGGGCATAATCTAAAAGACACCTTTACCGATAGAAATAATAAACCAGATCAACTTACTTAAATTATGCTAGAGCACCTGTTCTTGTGAATCACACTTGTCATAGAAATCAATCTGCTGAGCAATACATTAAAATTACAGAATATACTGTGCAAACAAAGAGCACAGTGTGCTACTGAAGAGTTTAATGATTGGCCTACTCTAAATTCCACCTGTTCCCAAAGAGAATAGAGAGGAGAGGCCTCCTATCTCTCCTGTTTGATACATTATTTAATGGCTCAGCACCGGCTATACTGCTTCTGTCTCTCAAATGCTGGGCAATCTGATATTTGATTAGCAGCTGCATGGCAAAGCTCTGCTTAATGTTGCACACATGTAAATCAGGACTTGTATAATAAATCTAAGCTTAACCAAAATAAATTTATTTCAGTACTAATGCAGGTTGCAGGTGTTATTTCATCAAATTCAAAAGCATTGACACTACCTGTTGTGTGTCGGTCTCTGTGACCTGCATATGTGAAACATGCATAACTCTGATTACACCACTTTTTTTACATACCTGCAAACCTCACTTAATCTCAATGGAATGACTTTGAAAAAACATGATACCTTGCATTACTTTCACACAATCTGTAAATTGTATTGTAAATTTTGTAATTTATTGTACCCTATTTTTTTTTCCGTTAAACTAAGCCCTATAAATTCCTGTCCTTCTACTCTTCTATCCCTCTTAATGAGCTTGCAGACAAAGCATTTCATTGCCGACAACAACGCCGTATGCTGCACTTGTTGTGCATTGATAAATAAACCTTGATTGATTGATTGATTGATAGTCATGGCAATCAAGCTGTTAAAAAGACAAGTGCACGCAAACAGCCAACTCTGCATTGTAGTACAAGAGCTGCTGTCCTAATGTACTGTACACAGAAAAGCCTTGGAAACTAATTAAGTTGAACAAAAATAGCAGTGCAATTTCTGTGCATTGCAGCTTACCATTTGGTTTGCTTTTGTTCTATTGTTTAGTATAAACAAAAAGCATGTTCTTAGCAATTACCCTGCCTGTTTTTGTGTAGCTTAACTACATTTTTCAGGAAAGCCTCTTAATTCTTTTTCGCTGACATTTTATTTATGAGTGCAGGTTAACAATGTGGAAGAAAGCAAGCCTAATCGAAGGCTACAGCTCAGTCCTAGCAGAACAACTACTTTGAAAGGTGGTTTAGAGGTTGTGGAAAGGAAAGTTCACCATTGAAGTGTGGAATTGAAGTCCACATTGTAGGAATTCAGCAATACACTGTACTCGTATCTGAGCCCAGTAACAAAGGCATAATGAATATTCTAGTAATAAGTCTACAAGAGCTAAATTTATTTTTGACTAGTGTACCTGATATTCGACTGGACTTGTGTTTTTCCTTTTCTGTTGTAAAACAGTTTTGTAGTCATAAAAAAAAGTTTTATGGTCATAGTTCAAAGACATTTTGTGGGGTGAAATACACTGGAATTTTAATGTAAAGAAAACAAATGTTTGTTAATTACAATAGATGTGAATACATTATTTTTTCCTTGTCAGAAATCTAATACTATTTGGGTTGCTGATCAAATTCATCTAATTTCTAACAACAGTTACAGTTCCAGTACGGTTACATGAATACAATGAAAAAGTTATGGATTATGCCCACAGATATGGTAAAAAAAATAATGCAAAGTCTACGAAGTTTTGGGCTTAATTCTCATTTAAGTAGATGGTTCTATGTATTGTTACGGGCTCTATGAGTAGATCATTATTTTATTTTCCTTGTTATTAATAACATTTTTCTGATGCTTTTGTCATGGTGTCCTCAGTTCACTGGGAATAAGCAACTTCATGCTAATAGTAGGATTCCAACATGTGATACCTGCAGGGATCAAAAACTTTGCCATCTTCAGAAATATTTGCACTCTCTGACTTGATAACTTATCAGGCTGAGTTTGTCTACTGGGAAAAGTAATTAACGGTGCGAGTCTGTAACAGGAGACAGCACATTAAAACACTGCCGATGACAGACAAAGTCATACATATGCTAGACAATGAATATGAAAACAGAAAGCTGCACTGAAAATAGAGAAGATTTCACTCTGCAATGAACCAACAGCATTACACTTTTTTATTGTCTGTTGTCGAGTTAAAAACATATTAAAGCACTATATTGTGCTGCTTACAGAATTATATACTAAGATATTTGCTAGGATTTTCATTTTTGTGTTCAACATGACAAATGGACTCTGGTGCTTTAGAAACGGTAATTAAAGTAAGTATAATTCACAAACAACGATCCTGTGCACATTCCATTCCCTAATTATAAAAAAGGCATTTAATTTTGTGAGGGCTGTACCCTATTTCATGTCTTTTTTATTTATTTAGACAGGTCATAATAAAATGACTTATTAAAAATGAATCAACACATTACCCTGCTATAGTAATAAAATAAATTAGCTTGTGCTTTGGTCCAGCATAGAAGGCTGTTCTATTTATACAAAAGGTCAGGCCTTAAAGTCATTTACCCTTTTTTTATGATGTATCCCACTAATGTGCAGTTACACGATGCACAGCAGGAGCAAGTCTGGATAGAAAGTTGGAGTTGATTCAGTAGCTGACATCTGACGTGCTCCGAGTGTGATTTAATGCAAACGGATAAAGAATCCCTCCCTTCAGCCTAAGTTACTGCTCCACAGCGCTCCTACACATTGTTGGGTTCTGTCAGGGAATCCCAAGGGCAAACAAAGCACATCTGTACAGTAATTTCCAACCCCCTCTCTTTTAATAACTCTGGCCCATGCTTGAAAGTAAAGTTTGATCCCTGCATATGTTTGTACTGAGTTATTCGTGATAAGGAAAAACAACTTGTTACCTAAACTGCTCCATGATCTCACTTACCAATGCTAAAAGCTGGGGGGGGGAGGGGAAGCAAGCTCTTAAAAACACAATTAACAAACGTAAATCTGTCTTCTGACACTCATTTTAAGCTATGGCCTTGTAACCAAGTGTTTAATGATTTCAACATATTTCCCATCAGCACAGGTCACAGATAACCTTGAACAGCTTTACTAATGCACACCATGGTGATTACAGTATTCACGCATTACTGCTTGTTGAAGCAAACAAAGTCCTCCAGACATGGAAACATTCAGCGACATTAGCACAGTATGGGGAATAATGTTCTCCATACTGTGCAGTATGGGGAATAAAACTAGTGGAGATAAAGATCTCCTACAAGCTGTGTTGAGATATACAAATCAAGCAATAGAAAAATGTGATTTTAAAGTATAGAAATCACTTACTTTGGGATCAGCAGTGAGCAGTTTGAAAGCCTGGTAAACCTGATTTTCCTTCACACCTCCACCCAAGTCTAGAAAGTTGGCTGGCTTTCCTCCATGAAGATCAATTATATCACAGGTAGCCATAGCCAGACCTGCTCCATTCACTGCAGACAGACAGAAAAAATTATATCAAGGATTTACATCTGCTCAGTTTTAAGAAACGTAAGAGCCACCTGTGTCATACACAGATCACTGCCTTTCACCACAAAGGAAGAACAGGATATCACAAAAACCATAGTTTAACAGAAATATTGTTTGTTCTGATCAAGAAAAAAGGGAAAGGTTAACAGGCCTCATGGCACATAAAACACATAATACAAGACATTGAACATCAAGAAATTCCCACATTTATTATTCTGTGTTGGAGAGAATACTCTCTGCATTTGATATCACAACACCCGTAGGCTAGGACCTGATGTAAATAAAGAATTGTGCAGTAATTATACCTATTCTTATTCATTTTTCTTTCATTCCCCATCATCTGTTTTTGACTAGCAAAACATCAGTAACAAAAGGAAAAACAAATATTTATGATGGACCTCATTACGCAAGCTCATATATTCATATATTCACATACTGGGGGGAAAAAGGGTATTGTTTAAGACAGCTGTCCATTCACAGTAAAAATGGACATTAAATGAACAAGAACAAAACTGTTTAAATTCACCTGTTTACCGGCAAGTATTTATATGTTTGACAGAAATTAGATATGGAGGTCATTATGTGTGTTCTCAGGCATGTAGCCTTAATTTGGAACCATAAAAACAGCTAGATTCCTTACTAGTGCTTCTCCAAGAGGTTAAGCAACAAACCAAGAAAGGTTCTACTATATCTACACAAGCCAGCAAAAACTGATTATGTTAAGTCAAAGTAAAATTACAATCTGTTCCTTAACACAAATGTCTTACTTTATTATTTTAATTAATGCTGTAGTTGGAGGAAAGTGCAATGATTAAAAAAAAGGATACTGTAGCAGTTGTTTTTTTACTTTGGTAAATTATTATAGATTTTAAGTGGATGTTAAGAATTTGTTTCATTCTATAGGATGCGGTGCCATACTACATTTCATACAGTAAAGCTGAGAATTAGGTGCCCAGTGTTCATCATTGAGAAATTAGAAATCTACTTAGCCATATTATTTAAGAACAAAAGGTGAACTCTGACTTTGTAAATACAGAGAATCAATATCATACACGTGAGGTGTTGTTAATATGGGATAACGATCAAAACTACAGATCTGTGGCCTGCTATAAGTTTACAATGTGCAATTAGGTTTATTCAGAAGGGGCTGCAACACTGACTTCACTTAAATCAATAAAACATTAAATATTACAAAAACACAGAATGGGAACACAGTACATTGGCTGTTGAAATAATCCCTTTCCATTTTCAAAGTATTAATTTTGGATTTGAAGGTCAAAGTTTCAGCCAAATAAGTAAAGTAGCCAATACTAACAAGCTGAATTGATTAGCCAGGACACTTTGTTTATTCAGCTATTTATATGAGAATTCCCATTAATGAGAAAACAAAATGAACGCATCAGAGTGCTGCAGGGCACAAATGCAGACTCACAGAAATGCCAAGCCATTAATAAGCAGCCATTATAAACCCTACAATAATTAACCACATAATTACACAGCACTCTTATCAGTACATTATCACTACAGACCAAGATGAAAGATGTCAGAAGAGTTATTCACAGGTGTGGTATATGATGTCCTGTGGATGTGGCTTGGCTGATTATAGCACATAAAGCTCTAGTCCACGGCTGCACCAGAAGTATGGTTACACTGGCCAAGGGACCAAACAGAGAAAATTTAACAGTGTCAGGGAATCAGGCCTTAGGACCCAGTGGTAATCAAAGCCACATTTAAAAAGAATAATTCACTCCTGGCCCTCCAGCTTTGACTTTACATGCTTACAATTTGCAGATTAAACAAAACACAATATTCTTCCTCGTAGCGTTTGTTCTGTAATTTTCTCACAGTGACATAACTTTTTATTTTCGCAAAACAAAAAAAAAGCTTTGCTTACTTACCAAAGCAAGCAATGTTTCCATCTAAGCCAATGTACTTGAGGTCGTATTTTGCCGCCTCCGTTTCAACAGGATCGCTCTCAGACATGTCATCCAATGCAAAAATGTCTTTTTGTCGGAATTCTGCATTGTCATCAAAGTTTATTTTCGCATCAAAGCATACCACTGCTCGGAGAGATGAGGACAAGCAAAAGTCAGAACACTCTGCATATCTATTTTTTCCATTCTTTTTTGACACAATAAGCCTGATCCTCATTCTACTTAAAAAAACTTAACAGAACACTTAGCAAAGTGACCAGTTACTTGAATTATTCATGCCCTTTAAATGAAGTGCCCAGAGTGAACGGCTATTTGACAGCACCTAAAAAAGAACACTTACTATGCATAATGGACTCTGCATTTGATTAACTCCTCTGTGCCTTTAAAGGCAATTAGAATTTATATCACATGCAAATTAAGCTGTTATGTTACAGTATATAAATTTGAAAGCCACTGCATCCAGTGGTAAAAAGATTTTTTCACCTCTAATAAGAAGACTTAGATTGCATTCTGAATTCAGTAAAGTCTGCTGAATAAAACTGTTAGGAAAAGAAGGGTATACAGCATTTTCATTATTCATCAGAATTAAATAATAAGTCTAAGAATCTTTGAAATGCAAACCGTTTTGTCTACAGTTATCTACATGTTTCAAATGAAAAAAAAAGATAATTATTGAAGGTTAAACTGCAAATCAACTAATAAGAGGTGAATGTTCTTGCTGCATGCCAAACTCCACCAACAATTCCAAAACGTTTTTTGGAAAAAAAAAAGAATTTTATGAAACTGAGAATAAGCTACAGTCATTTATAAGGGGTGATTTTGGTCCCTACATCTATCAATAGTGGAGAAGAAAAAAATGACAGTATTTCCATATTGCTTCATTCTAGACATAACGGTAAATATATTGTGTAATGACGCTTCTCAGGGAAATAACACCAGGCTTGTGCTCCCAAAAGTAATAAACTGAACTTACATTTTCCAGTATGTGGAAGAAATATGCCCACTGTTGAAATACAAAGAACCATACATGGTAGATACTTCAAATCATGTGCTACTCTCCTTGGTTCTCTTTATTACGAGAACAGACTTTATTTGAACATTTTTACATTTGTTCCTCTCGTATATCACCATGGAAAATGTAACACAATTGCAGCAACAGAAAATGTAAACTTTATTTATTACTTTAAACCTTACAACCACCTCTGTTACTTTCTATTTTGTGCTGTGATGCAGTTTTGTTATTTTCTGATCCCTTAAAAACTGTCTTTGCTCAACAAAACACTGTCAGTTTTTTTAATATTCTTCAGGCTAAAAAAAAAAGTCTACAACCACTTTCATTTCAGATAAACATTTGTCTTATTTGTACATAACCCATATCAAACAAATACCGTGACATAACTATAGGCTGCAGTAAAAGATTTATTAATATTTATAAACAATTATTTGACTAGAAAATTCCCATTGTCGCGTCATTGCTTGATGCAATATAGCAATGAATATCATTCCTTTTGAACAAATATCAAAGACAGCTAGTCATATCCTCTGAGATTTTATTTTGTAGCTGCTGTCGGTCTGAGAACGTCTGAAATGCTATTTTACCATAAAAGAGACAGTGCATTCTGGCAGCTGTATGCTTTGATCTGATAGGTTTAGCAAAGAACCCTTGAACAAAAGAAAAGGTTTATGCGATGACACAACCCCTTAATAAGGTTGTATACATGACATAAAACATAATAATAATAGAAGAAAGAGGCACATTGAAAAAATTCTGTGACCAAATTAAATAATTCTTTTAACAAATGTTCTAAACAAATGGACTATATAAAACATCCAAAGTCCAAAGTACTTGGAAGAACTGGTTCTTACAAACTAGTTTACGTTCATCTCTTTTTGAAATCCTTAAAACAACTAAAAAAAAAACAACCTCTGAAGCAAAGGAGCCTGTTTGTCACCATACACAAATAAAACCCTCCACACAAAATAATCTACATAAATACAATGATCGAGAGCATGGCTTCAAAACGAAAGTAAGTTCTCCATTTTGAAATTTTATTCTGAAAAATCATTGGGCTTATTGTAGTACCCATCCCCTTCAAGAAGAAACAAACTTTTCCTTTTTTAAAAATTTAACAAACAAGATCTTGAAAGAAAAAAGTAAATAAATCCTTTATCTCGGAAGCCTGCAGGCCACTGCCATCTTGCAGCACAAGGTTTTATAGAGTATTTATAGTGTGAGAAATGAAAGCCAATTTTTCTGCTTCAATTTCATTTGACTAAAACACATTTGAGCTGCCAGTCAAACAAGTCCTCAGGCACACTGATCATACTGTATGTGCACCCTCAAATGTTTATGAATAAACTTACTTTTTTGTTAGTCATGGATGTTAGTAAGATAGATACCATGCACTAAATTCTATTTCAAAGAATATCCTCATGGAGAACAGAATGCCATGCATGTTTACTTATTTACACTACATCAAGTTAGAGCTCATTAGAATCAAAATAAGGCATACAACACGGACTTCTAAAGGATATTTAAGGCGCATGTGTATACATTTGCTATTCTGTTATTTAACGTTTTGTTAAGCTTAATAAATCTTTTTAAACTGTATTAAATTAATGAAGATTAAAATCTTTTCGTCAATTTTGTTCAACAACAACTCATCCCAGAGAGACTCATAGTTCAGTCATCTGAAAAACATTAGTGCATGTAAATCTCCGAGTCCATAAGTTTTATATAACTTTATCCAAGTTAGAATAACATTACCAGAAATGTCATTTCAAATAAGGGGTCCAATGTTTTGTCTTTGACTCTGTTTTATGATAAATACACCTTTTTAGATATTTAAATAGTAGGTACATCTTTGGAATGCATTTTTCTCCATTACACAAAGCATACAAAAAAATTAAAAGAAAAAAGGTTTGGAACCAAGCTCTGATTTTTTAATTTTTCTACATTGGTATTTTATTTTCCAATGACAACTCAGTCATGACAAATTTGACGGAGATAAACTCCGTGTAAACTGTGAGCATTACTGAAAATACAATAAATATTAGCCTGGTTAGCTGCAGTTTTGCCTGCTTTTATCTAAGATTTTGCCTGGAAAGAGGTCAAAGCCAATGGTGTCATTTACTGGAAATATTTTTAAAGGAAATCACTGTTAAATTCCTGTTCTACTATTTTTATCTCAGAAACTACACAGGTGAAAATCGGGTTAGGCCTGGAATGCATAATACATTTAACTAGGACACATACTCAATACCTACGGTACATGTAAGACCCAATACATTCCTTTAAATACATTTAAAAAAAGACTTTAAATAAAACATCCAACAAAAGATTAAACATATATTTTATGGACTGGCAAAAGTCCATTTTTTTGTGAAGAACATTCTAACCAAACAAGCTGACTCTCCTATTTGATATTGGATCAGTAAGCTTCTTGTATTACATACAGTAAGTTACTATAAACACTAGTAGGAGGTACCAGAATACTAGATTCTGAACCCTGATCCACTGCATACTAAATGAAGGGTTAGACAACATGAATCAATGTTAATCATTGATGTGCAAGACAGAATAACTCCTTTGTTTTGTTTTGTTTTTTTGGGGGGGATTCATTAAGTGACATGTACAAAAATAACTAGAGCTAATAACTAAAAGCACAAAATATATGAAGAGGCCACCAGCAGATTATCTCAAAGTGAACTGTTTGTCCAATAAAAGACATTGATGTTATCATGGCAACAGTTAAGACACAAGTGTTAAAACAGAAACAGTAGTGTCATACAAATTGCAATACAACCGTTATCTTTAACCTGACTCAGATCAATTAACTTCTTTTTAAATAACATTCCTAATGAAGTCAGCTCTACAGCTCAAACTGTGTCTGTAACCTTGATGAACTTCTTCCTTGAGAATATTCTAATAAAAGATTTCCCAATACCAATGCACCTGTCACCTGCATACAAATGTTCCAGTTTACAGGACACATCAATTTTAAAAATCATTCAATTCCTTTGGAAAAAGCTAAGTCTGATCTTTTTGAGACTGACTAGGAAAAAATGCAAAAAGTTATTAGAAGTGAATAATTCAGAGAACAAGGATATGATCATGATATTTAATGAAGGACCTTTACAAAGCCAAAGTTAGGCATGCACAAGCTTCTGGGAAGAAGTGCTTACACAACTACAGTACCTTTCACAAAATAACAAGCAAACCACTTCTCTTTATGCAAAAGAATACATTTATTCTTTCACTTCATACCTTGTCCTTCAGGAGTTTCTCCAAGGGGATTCACTTCAACCTGAGTTGCATCAACTTTCAGAAACAGATTATACAGCTTCTTAATTTGATCTGCAGCCTGTATTTTTTATGAAGAGGAATAATTACAAAATAATAAAGGCATTCAAAGCAAAAGGAAAAAAAAATTCACTACTTCTATATTGACGGGCTTAATACCTTCCTTGTCTTTTAAACAAAATGCTTAATAAAACATGTGACATGGCTTTGTAGTGTTGGCAGATCAGTTATCACTGTTGACACAGTGGAAACATGCCACATATTCAAAGTCGTACTATGTAATGTCTCTGAAATAAATTTACTTTCAGAATCTCAGACTCCTATGGAAAAAAATGCTTTGTTCCATGCTGTTGAAAAACAGCATTATAATTAATGTTTACATTATATGTTGAAATTGTAATAGAATAGAAATTTAGTTTAAATGTGAATAATCTAGGTTATTAAATAGTGTATCATAAATTATTAGCAACACAGATGGAACATTTTCCACTTTCACTGCAGTTGCATTCAATTTCTCATTAAATGTATACCAGCCAGCATGATTATAAAGTTATCACAACAAAGAAAAAATGATTATAATAAACTTTAAAAACCCTAATGTCAGGGTAGGCTGACCTCTCACAAATAAGATTCGTCTTTAAATAAAGTGCTAGTGATCATGTTCACTAAACGGCCTTTTTTAATCACAGATGTTAAAGACAAAACTGCTTTGCTTTGCTTATTCCTCTTGAAATTGATAAAGAGTTAATGTAAAGTTCAATGTATTTTAAAGACCATTTGGAGACTAAAAATGTTTTTTAAAGTCTTCACATAGTAATTTTTCATGAGTCATAATGTCACAGATTTAGTATGGGAAAAGATATAATAGGAAAAATAATAAGTAGCTGTCACACAGAAGAGACAAAGGAAATAACAAGGGATTTTTTCCCCTAAAATGATTACTAATTTAAAGTCCTACAATGTCATTACTACTTTGTCCTCTTCATTAAAAAGAAATCTATGTGACAAGAGACAGTTATGCTACTCTCTTTCAGAAATACAAAAAGGAAAAAGCAACAAAGTACATTATTTTAACTGGAGTCAAGATCTGAATCAAACTTTTTTTCAAATGATCAAGAATAAAGCACACACTGGTAATTAAAGTTTATAAAAGAACTAAAGTTTAAAGGAACTAACTGGCCATTGTGACACATACAGTAGCAAGTAATTTCCTCCGGCTGTGGAAATCCATGTCAAATCAATGAGCAAACATGTTCTGATACAACAGGAGTCTTTCTTAATCTACTTAAGTGCTCTTAACTTATGTGGTCGGCTCCATAAAATAAAAAATATTGAAAACATGCTTTATTCTCTGAGAAATTAATCATGCACGCCTACATGAGCTATAAATCTATAGATCCATACAGTCTATACATATAATATATCATCTATACAGTTGTCTTATGTTCTTTTATTTCCTGTTTTAACACTTTTATTCAATATCTTGTATTAACGTAAGAGGTTAGTAGGGTTTTTTTGTCATAGGGTAAAATTTGACTATATGTGAATTTGGCTTTATACACAGTTCAAAATCCCTAGCCCCTGAGTAAATTGCGAGTCGACTTTATAGTTCTTTATCGTTTTTTTTTTCATTACATAACATCGAGTTCCTCTATTTAAAATAATAATACTCATTTCAGTTTCAACACTAAACAATGAAAATCAGCACTAAAGAATCAGATCAGAAAGATTTTGGTTGAAGCTATAGATGTTTTAAATCAAAGCACATTGTTTTGGGTGAAAAATCTGTGGTTGTGTGGAGTCCATTACCTGTCCTTCTAAAGGTCCTTTAAATCCCAAATTAGCTGCCATGCGAAGAGCCTGATCATCTCGAACCCCTTCGAAAATATCTATCACTTCCTGTTGAATACGAGAAAAAAAGAAATGGAATACTGAATTAATTGAATACCATTAAAAGAAGTAGACACCCACTTTAAAATCCATACAGATTTAATACAAGCAACATGCCAGTCAAAAACTACAGCCTGCAGGATGGTTTTACAATTCTCAAACTATCTACAGAAATGTTCCTCTTCTGAAGAACATACTGAAAGGGTCACGTAACGATTTTCACTTTTTGATACACTTTGTGTGCAATGTAACAAGTAGGTCTGTACAACAATATAAGTATTTTATTCATATGACCCTACCCAAAGAAAAACTGCTGAAATGTGTTTTATAATGTAAAAGCACCTTACCAAAAGAAAAAATCAAGTCCAATTAAGAATCTCCCACTCTTGGGGGAAAAAATACCAAAAGGTGTGTAGCACCTGGTTGCTGCATCATTTCTAGTTTGCAGCAGGAACTGGACATCAGGACTCCCAAACTTCACTTTCACACCCATTCTGATAAACATCAACTTAACTGCTCGACATCCTCACACAAAACTCTACTTGTGCTTGTCCTTTTACCATTACTATTATCGCTTAGCCCTGGACATGAGCACATGACTTCTATCTCGTAACATCTTGTAAAACTGCAGTCGTTTTTATTACATTGAGAGGAAAGAAAAGAGTGGTTTGCTTTTGTGTGACATAAGAACAGGTGACCGATGAGAGGCAAGAGAGGAAGTGAAGCAGAGCTTCCAAAAGGGAGCTTGGTTTGATTTGAATAACCCACTTGTGCTCTGTACAAATAAAGAACAGCTTCAGTTTGCTTAACTCCCTGTCTGACTGCGTTTGTGTACTTAGACTCCACCTGTTTTGAAAATACCCCCCCCCGATCACAACAGGAATGAAGCCATTTATTTTTAAATACCATACAGGGATTCATTGTACAGTAGCTTAACAATACTTAATTGGCCATTTTTATTTATTTGGCAGAAATCATGGCATTAGAGTGCATTTGTTTTTTTCTCTTTGGAAGAACACTTTATGAAGTAGGCTTCACATTTCCTTATTCTGTGAGCATGAAACCTTCCACCCTTCATTCCTCCATCTGGCTTTTCTCTGTATTTAACCACTGTATACAAAATATGTTTGATTTTCAAACACATTGTAACATCAGCTTCTACACTTCTTAGACTGGAGATACTCATCGTGGACACACAATGCCCTGGGAACACAGATGTGAAATTGTCTCTACCTCAAATATGAAATAAATGAAAAGAATAGATTAATTTAACTGGCAAGGCATGTAAAGTATCAGTATTATTCTGCCGACTCATTTTTTCAAACAGGAAAAAGACTGTGTACAGAATTGCCTGTGTAATTCTGCAAACCATACCTTAAAAATCAGCTCAGGGCTGGTAGCTGCCACTTCTTCAATGTCCATACCACCCTGCGGGCTTCCCACCATAACTGGCCCATTACAGCTTCTGTCCATCAGGATTGCAAAATACGTTTCCCTTGAAATATCCAAGGCTTCTGCCACCATCACCTGCACATTGAAGGACACTTTGAGCTTGCCACAGATTTACAAATTTCTGCAGAATGGTAAAACAGAATATGAAAAGGCCTTGACTAAGCAGCCTGGTAAGTGTACATTACTGTTTCTTGCTCTACAACATATAGATCTATAAAACAGAAAAAAAAACTCATAATGCCTCCCAAAAGAACAATAAATGGAAATTAAAAGCTGTTTTATTTCCTGTGTTGATGGGATCCAGCACATTTTGTTCTTTTTTTTCTGCGCCAGGAGGAGTAAAGCAAGGAGTGCCTAGGAAGACAAAGGCTGCTGCATGAGAAAATAAAGCTCAAATAAATGCACAACAACTTGCTTGTTCAAACAAACTCTGACACTAAAACTCCAAATAATGCTTGATAATGCTTGGTCTTTCAAAGTTCTGCTGGAGAGGTCCCTGCAGTTACTTTGCTAAAATCCCTTTATCTACACAGAATTATGAAGAAAACAATACTGGGAGTTGGAAGATAAACACATAAGAATAATTACATATAAATGCAATCTAGATTGTAAAATAATACTAGACAAAAAGAAAACTGATATTATGGTAAATCTAGAGGGATGTGTCATACCATTGAGATACGAGATAACCCGACTAAAAAGAAGAACTCCACATTAAGCAAGTAATCAATTAATAATGAATTATTCCAATGAAACTCAAGACACCCAAAAGGTAAAAATCAATCTGCATGTGATCTGTAACAACTACATATAATGACTAGAGTAGTGACTGCCTGTGACATTAACCAGATCCCACAGCTGCTCTGATATTTCCCCAGGAGACCTTTATTTTAAACGAGAAACTGTGACATTAAGGGGTTTCTTTAAAAAGTTGTGTCAGTTGTGTCATAAGGAAAAGGAATGCAGAGAAAGGGTAATTAAACAATGGAAATGAACAGATTCCTTGATGGGAAGCTGCAGGCCATATTACATAAGGGACAAACTCTGTAAGAGTGGCAACTCACGAGGGATTTATTATCTGAAAATCTTTTTTCCCCTATGAACATGGAAATATAAATACTTATTTACATCACTGAAAATCTCAGTGGAAATGGTTGTATACCGATAAAACAATTTGTAGACATGAACATGTGCTTTAGCACTGAATAGCAAAAGCACCAAACATGTAATAAACCACACCTCATAAAGACGGCATGTCAACACTCATCAAAACATTGAAACTCTCTTTTTTCAATTTTCAAGAGTGAAAAGGGAATTAAAAATCAAGAAGCCAGTGCCTGTACAATCATTTATGCACATGAAATCCATTATTAAACTGTCATTCATATATAATGCTGCTTGCCTCAAATCCAATGCCCACAATCCCCTCTTTACCGTTTTCACTTTAACACCTTCCTTTGGAGTCTGCTTGGTGGTTAGATTAAAGCCTAGCATCTGATTTGCCAGCTCAGCAACAACTGAAGGGCTGTAGAGACAGAAGGAGTGTTCAGTAAGATAAGCTTTTTATTTCTGTATCAAAATTCCACACCGTAGAAGCCAAAATGTGGTGCTAGTTTACTCGCTTTTGAAAGTCCTTTTTAGTAACATTTTTTGACAATTCAGATGAAAAGCACAACAATGAGCCACAGTTCCTTTAACAACAAAATAATGTAAGTTATTGTCTTTCTACCCTATTATGTAAAGATTAAGGATAATGGCTGCAAGGTGCATGTTTACATTCAGATTGACAAAAACAACAGCTTCAATAATAAAAAAGCAGACCTACAATGTTAGCTCAGAATTCTGTATTTTTGTTAAGTTCTGTTAAGTTCAATACTTTATTGCCATAATAACGAGTTGCATGGAATTTAGTTTTATGAGCTCCTAGAATTTAAAGACATACCATATAAATATCCTACAAAAGAAAGCACCCACCCAACACATCTTCACATAGCATTCTCAACACACACCAGTAATAAAATAAATAACAGTGAGAGACAGAATAACACTGAGCCGTGCAAAAATTTCAAAATTAAAGTGCAGAGTTTATGCATCTCACAGCCTCAGGGTAGGTGCTGTGTTCACCGTCTTCTGTTAACATGAAGTGAAGTTTTATTGTCAAGGTAATGTCCTTACAAAAAGGCATATCAATATAATCTCCATTATGCCTGTGTGAACACTGGTAACACAGTTCCATACACTTACCTGGGATTTTAACAATTCTTTTCACCAGAAATATTCATTCCCTTTGGGCAGCTAAATGCTAAACATAGTAAATTAAGCCTCTAGTTTTGCATTATTCTGAAAGACTGTGGGAGAAGACATACCATGCTGATATCCAACTCTGTGTAGGGAAGAAAAACTTTCACTATGTTTTTCACTAAACTTTTTTCCCCCCCACTTTCACTAAGTTCAGTGCTTTTTCAAAACATTTTTTTTAGGATGACATTGATGCATGAGGTGTTATTATGCCATTAATCACGCTTTGCATTGAATTTGGAACTGTAGCATTTTGCAAATTCTACAGATGAGCTTTTGCTTTCCTTTCCTCCTCTCTCAGCTGCAGCTGAAGCTGAAATGTTGAGTTATACGTTACTTACTCTTTAGTTAAGTGTACACCTCCTTTCAGCCCACTGTTGAATACCCCTTTTCCTCGTCCACCTGCAAGGATTTGGGCCTTTAAAACAATTTCTTTAGCTTCTAAAAGGGAAGGAAAAAAAAGAGAAAATTAAGACATGTAGTTTGAATGACAAGTGATTCTCCAGTAAGTGCATCATCACCGAAATCACTGTTACATATCCTTCCTTTTTCAAATGTCACTTAACTCATGAGTTCAGCCTCCATTAGTTCCACAACCCTTGACAATAAGTTTTGATCAGCGGTACTTTCCACATTGATTACCCCTCAGAGGCCTTCAAATTCTTAAGAGTTCAGTTTCCATGTCCTGCTTGGACTAATTATAGTCAAATTCATAAAGAAGGAAAAACCATTTTAACGTACAGTACTTGCAATGAACCCTATAGATATTATTGTTATTGGTTATTGTTGGTTCAGATGTTTTTTTCCCCAGTAGTAATCCTCCTGTAGAAGGTTTTTATTTTGAAAAATATTTTGGTGTTGCAACTAAGGTCGTAAACATGCAAAGGGAAAGACTGTATCTTGCCATTTAATCATGCATTTTATAACAGACATTTACTAGATGTCCACAAGCCTACCTTGAAATGCATGGATAGATGATATACTTATAAAGGTAGGAAAATAATTATTAAAACCATGTTTGTTCAAAAATGTAGCGTGACCTAAAATAGTCATATCTTAATGTACAACAGCACTGGTTGTCAGACAAAGTATCAGGAAGTGCCATACTGCCACAAGGTCTATGTGAGTATAGGCAGTGTTATTATTGTAGAATCTTAAATATGTCATGAAAACTGTAGTTTCTGGGAAATAAAGCACACATGACAACAGCAAAAAAAGTTTAGTAACAAAGGGTACTCCTACTGAGAGTTTTCAGCCCAACTTTGCAATTCACTTGCTGCTGTATACAAGACCGAGGGGGGATCACAAAACTGGTAAAATTGGCAATAGTAGTGGCTGAGGATAGGAAGACTACCCAAAGTGATGCCAAGTTCCTTGGAGTGAATTCTCAGCTTGACAGGCAGTGACCTAGAAGAGATATGGTGAATAACCTTGCGGCACACGTGCAGCTGTTCTTCAAGAACAGACAGAGACACAGACACATTAGTGCAAAATGGTCTCAGTGGGTGTGTAGCTGCCTGGAAGTCTTTACTAAGGCTGAAGCAAAGGTTTCCACACACCAACTACATCTGCATCTTATACTACGTCAAATAATACCATATTTTGTATTTAATTAAAAAAAGACACATTAATTTATGATGTGCAATTTGCATTACGTACCCATTACTGTCTCTGCTTCCAGAGGTATTTTCAATACTGTGATGATAATATATTTGAATTTGCTTTTGGTTATTTGTTTTTAGCTTGCTTTTTCTGGTGAGGGTCGTGATGCGTTTGATTTCTGATCATTTAAAATAGTGCAGAGCATTCTGATCGGAAAGTCAGATTCCTCTTTTTATTACAATGGTGCCAAACTTTACTCTCATCACCGGATCAAACCAAAAAGTTTGGAATAAAACAGAAGTTTTTTCGAAATCCATCAGGGGCTGTAAGCAAAAATGGCTGCAGCAAGAAGATGGTTTAAAAATAAAGCTTGTTAAAGCCAAAAATAAAACATATTGGAGGAAAATTAAAATAAGTACAAGCTGGGCACTGAAAACGTCCTCCGGGCATGTACAGCTGAGGCAGGGGAAAGCACAGGAATGACTTAAGAAAAAAGGCAAAGTAAGCTAATGAAAACTATTTTGCAAGACAATTTTAGACAAACTGTTCTGCAGCATAAAGAACTGAGTGCAAGGCTCAGCAAGATGACAGCCTGTCAGCTCAACATCCCCATTCAGAGTGCCAGGTGGAGCCGAGGACGCATCATTGAAAGGGGCATGAGAAAAAGCAAACACTTTTACATCAACGTGAAACAACACCTCACACCTTCACCATTCAAGAAAAGGAAGGGGATGAAGATTCAGATGCTCAAGCTTCAGTAGGCAATCAAATGTTGCAATACAAGGGATATAGCATAGGATAAGAATGGATAAGGAAAGAATGATTTATGCATCATGATCATCATTTACTTAGCAATGGCTCTTACCAAGAACAACCTACACGAAAATCTTTATTTTAAGGGCAAGCACAAAAGAAACAACAGATATTAATAAAATTAATTGAAAGAAATTAGAACTAGGCAAGCACAGATGGAAACAGACACTGCTACATGACAATGAGGGAATCTTGCTGGTACATATTTAATTGACAGGAATTAACAACTGATCTTGGAATGACTATCTGTGGTCCATGTTAATTTTGTACTGTTTGTACAGTTTTAGCACTTGTGCTCCAATGATTGTTTTTTTATTTTCAAGGTATTGAGTAGAAGAGAGAAGTGTTTTTCTATAAATAATGCTACAGCACAAGATATCACACCCTTAACTCAGTTGCCCTACATGAGATGCGGTACTCTAGAGAAATCTATCCTGCAATGTAAAGGAAAAGTTTTATCACTCATACAATTCATAAAACAAAGAAATTAGATTTTCCAGTAACTGGACTGCATTTTTCCAAAGTGATTTTGTTTGACATAGAAAAAAGGGGAGGAAAATGGTCTGTAATTTACTTTTAGAAATAAGATTTAAGAGCCTGGAGGAATTTGTCTATTCCATCTTCTGACAAACTCAAATTAAATCATTTACAATATATCCACAAAATAAATTTTGTACTTAAAAAACAAAGTGCAGCCTACCTCAAAGAAAGATAAAAGGTTAATATTTTTTGCTGGTTGTAGCCAGGAGAGAAAAATTAATCATTTGTTCCAGAGTAGAATAATACAACTCTCTAAGCGATGACATTTGCACATAAGTCTTTTCCCAATGAGAGTAGCTGCTTACTCCCACCTTCTTGAGGAACTTCACAAAATAAGAAAAAATACCCTTGCTTTCTAAAATCTATAGCCCATGATTACACAGTTGTTAAACTGTTTGGAATTCATACAACTGAGTGAAAAATAAGTCCCAATGTGATGTGATGAAACTGGAAACAAGAACGGGAGTTAATGGGATGCCATTAACAGTGTCAACATTTTCACACAGGCACCAAGAAGCTAGAAGTTCATCTGCTGCAAAAATGCAAGCCCAAGCTCAGCCAAAAGGCAGTTTCAGGGACTGTCTTGCACTGCTTGAAATTAAGATTTAAACACATCAATTATTAACTAATGCACTAGTGTTATAATTCTCATAACAAAGCAGTATTTTCGGAGATTAGTGCAAACCGCAATGCATGGGAAAAGAAGCATTAAATGCAGGTAAAAACATGTTTGCAGTACACTGTCTGGTTTACAAAGGCACTAAAACAAAAAACTACGGAATCTGCAGATATGGATTGATTCAGTGAAAAACTGTGCTATAGGTATTCCAGTAAAGGGCAGTTTCAGATTGTATCAGAATAGATGGGACTCTGAATGCTGCCAAACAAAATTTATTTCATCGTGTTAGCCATCAGGAAGATGGCTGAGAGGTCTGAATTTTATCTTCTGAGATGAAAATGATATGAAACAGCACATCCAGAATAGGGAAAAAAAAAAGAAAAGACCTGAAGACAGAAAAGAGCTGACAATTCTGTCACTTACAAATGGCAAAGACTTCAAAAACCATTAAGTGTGTATAGGATCTTATTGTCAGGGCAATACACCAGTGAAACTGTGGGTTTTCTTCTGGAAAGCATTACTGGTCTGGAAGTTCACGCTGCAAATTAATTAGAAAATAATTTAAAAAATAATTTTAGCATCACAATCAATTTACAGTTCTACAATATGTAACAGTATTTAACTGTAATTTACTGTAATTGCAAATAAATGTATAGTAAATACTGTTGCACTACATATGTTAAAGTCTTGTAGATGTGCTGAGAGTGAAGACAGTTACTTTATTATTATGCATCAGTATATGTTCAGAATCTAACTATCCAGCTAAGTATTTGAAGCTGGTTTCCTGGAGTGTTTTTAAGAAAAAGCTGGACAAAACTTGGATCAACAAGCTCCTGGCAACCAACCAAAAAAAAGTCTTCTTTCTCAACCTCTTTCACACAATGAAAGTTTTAAATTATGTGACAACCTAAAACATTAAGCAAAAACACAAGTCTTATATGTAACACTGTACTTCATCACAATTATTAATACAAAATACAAGGGGTTTAGCAAATCATTTTTCTTCCTAACAGAACCATCCATTAATCTTATTTATGATGGCAACAGTCATTTTAAAGTTTTTACTGAAGCTTCAGGAGTTCATCTGATTACTTTTGCTTTTCATATCAGTTTTTTTTAAAAATCTGAAATAATGTTGCCAGGGGTTACAGATGATGGAGTTCATGTTGTCTGGTATTTAATTAAGAAATAAACCATCACACCGTGGGAGTATATAAAGGAACAAGGTAGGCTCCAAGCAAATCAAGGCAAATACAGGCTATGGGGGAAGTAGATCATTTCCCTTGTGCAAACAGTTCAAAGTCTGTGTGCAGTTTCTAAACAAAGCACATGCATTTCAAATCCATGATCCCTGATATATTGTGTATGTGTATACTCAAGACAAATATATTGACTTCATAATAACATGTTCCTGATAATAAATTAATAATACAGCACACTTTTTGTGCAGATCTTCTGGAGGATCATACCTACGGTTTTCTGTTGTGTTACTGTGAGGCTGCTGACTCAAGAGTTCAAAAAAATCTCATTCATTTCAACACCTGTACAGATCTGACACTTGCACATCCAAAACATAAATAAAATGATTCCTGCCTCACCAATTTTTTTTTTGCAAGCATGTAAGGAACTTATTACAGGGGGAAATAATTTGCATAAAGATGTCCTTGAAACATAGCAAAGTAAACAAGTCTCATTACGACACATTTAAAGGGACAAAATGACAGACAATCATAAGAATATTTCCACGTCTGAAACAACAGAAGAGTCCACAATGGACGCAGCCCAATTAGAACCGCCGGGATGGATAGCAATTACAGTAACACAGAAATCTTGGATGATGGGATGATCTCCTCCAATAATAATAGTG